TTTATCTTAATTTTTTTTTTTTTTTTTTTTTTTGTGTGTGTTTTAAAAGTTTTATATAATTTTATTTAATTCCAGTTTAAATTGTTTTATATGTTAATATAAACATTTGTTCTTATTTATAAGTTTTATTTAATGCAAAGATGAAGTATGTTTCTCTATTTTTATTTTTATTTTTTCTTATTATCAGTATTTGTTTTTGTGTAAAAGATAATGAGCAAAAAGATAATGCGTTATTCTTAAAAGATAACAATACAACAGAATCAACTGTTGTGAAAAATAAATTAATAAATGAAATAAAAAAAAAATCAAATGAAATTAGAAATATGTATAATAATCTAAATATTAAAAATAAAAAATTACCTCTTTATATATTTATAATTGATAAAAATGAAAAAAAAAGACAAATGTTAAAAGACTTGTTTTTAAAGGGAAAACTTGATTTTCTTCAAGGGAATAATACCCCTTTTTCAAAATATTATATATCAAAAAAAAATAAAAATATTTTAGATAGGTTATATTTTAACTTATAAAAAATTATAAGAATATATATTAATACTATCAATTTTGCATTTCTTGATTCTTGTTGAAACTTTTTCTTTTTTTTAGAATAACACTCCAAAATAAAATTAACGATGAAGAAAAATTTTTAAATAGTTTAAATAAGGAAGATAAGAAAAAATATAGTAATATGGATAAAAATATATATTTTTATACATTATTATGAAAGAACAATACTATTTTTAATGAATTAATTTTACTCTTATTGAAAATTATTAATTATTTTTACTATTTTTAATTTTAAAAAAATAATTTCAGTAAAAAGAAAACTTCAAGAATATGAATATTTAAGAAATAACGTTAATCAATTATCTCTAAATATAGGTTCTTCTATAGCTATAGAAAAAAAAAAAAATTATAACTTTTATACACATATAATTTTATTTACTCATTTATATATATATATTTTTTTCTTTACATTTTTTACCAATATTATAATAATTTTATTTTTTAAGCAAATTATTTTATTTTATTTTTTTTCACAATCTAAATAATTTTAAAAAAAAAAGAATTAATAGGATATAAGCTTCATTAAATCATATGTAGATTTTTTATTTAATCTTTTTTTATAAATTGTTTTTATATTCTTCTTTTAACAGAAAATAAATTTGATTCTTTGGAAAAATTAATGATGTATATAAAGGAATAAAGAAAAGACCAAGAATTTTGTGAAAATAAAGTTTAAATTTTACTTATAATAATTAAAATAGAAACAACATTATTCTTAATTTTAGAAATATATTATTTTTAATGAGGAAAAGAAAGAATATTACTTTTATTTATTTAATTATGAGCATTGAATACACTTTTTTTTTTTTTTTTTTTTTATTCTTTTAACTTTATTTTATTTAAAAAGTGTGAATAAATAATAGAATTTTTTAATTATAAGTATTTAAAAAATTGAAAAATTAATTTAAAATTTTTTTTTTTTTTTTTTTTTTTTTTTACGTGAGCTTCCTACTGTATTATTGATTATTTCAAAAAATAAAACAAAGATACAAATTAATATAACTATTTAAGAACTTCAAAAAAAAAAAAGGTTATATATTTAGGTAAAATAATTTTATTATAATGGCACTTCTATATATTTCATTTTTTTAATTCTAACTTATTAAAAGCTCTTTCTTCATTTAATGTTTATTAAATTTTTTTTTAATTTTTTTTCTTTAGATCATTAAAAAAAAAAAAATAAAGAATATTTTTTTATATTCAATTATTTAAAATTTAAAAAATAGAAGTACTCATAAGGATAGAGAAATTCGTATTAGTGAACATTTTACGTTGTCTAAAAATTCCAATATTTTTCTTTTGTAGATATGCTAATTCATTTAATAAATATTAATTATAATCTTTAAAATTAAAATACTTATTGTTACAATTATCTTTTTTTTATTATACTAAAATATTATTTAATAAGAGATGAGAAAAATTAAATATTTAATTTCTAAAGTTAGTAAAATTAACATTTTCATTCTTAAAAGAAAAGAAATTTTCTTAAATTTAAAATAATAGTTAATCCGAAAAAAGAGAACAAAAATTGTTTTGGTTTTTAAAATTATATTTTTTTTAAATTGAATGCTTATATACAATAGTTATAACTAATTAATATCAATAACTTCTTATGAGAAATTTCATCTAATGTTTATATAATAGAAATAGTGTATATCAAAATGTACTTGAGATAGTTTTGAGGGATGTTTCTTATTTTGTTTGATTCAAAAATAGTATTAAATGCATGATGGATATATAAAACCTTTTTAAAATATTTTTAATTTAAACATATATATAAATATATATTATAATATTTTTTTAATTTCTAACTTATTTCTTATCTTTTCCTTTTTTTGTATAGTTGTTTTCAGTAAAATATAAAAAAAAAAAAACTTGCAACTTTTTTTAATGGGTATATAAGATATAAAGAATTCATCATCATACTTAATTATTATAAAAATACAAAAATATATGTTAATATGCTTTACTAAATCATTCTGTAATTATATCATATTTTTATATAAACAAATATCAAAAAAAAAAAAAAAAAATAAAATAATAAAATGAAAAAAATAAAAATGTGTGTTCTAAAAAATATAAATAATGAAATAGAGAAATAACAATATATGAAGAATATTTTAGTTCTAAAATTATGTGAAATATATCCTAAAATTTTTTCCTAATTCCTTTTTATTTCTAATATTTTCAATTAAATTTTATTTTTAAAAATATATAATTTTTAAATTTATAATTAATTAAGAATATAATATTTTTTTTTTTAATTCTTTTTTTTCAAAATTTTCTATAAGATATATATTTTTTAATACATCACATTTTTATTTGTTTCTTTTATAAACATATTTTATATATATTCATGGAAGAATATCTTTAGTTACGTGTTATTTATAAACATAAAAATATGCGTACAATTAATATTAATTTATATTCTACATTAATAATTAAATGAAATTATTTTGAAGATATAAATAATTATATGTAAAATGTATGAATTGAAACATAAAAAAATATATGAAATTAAAATTTAAGGAGATAAATATGAATTTTTAAGTAAACATTTTCAAAAAATAAAGTATGATAAAAATAAATCATAATATATTAAATTAATGAGCATCAATAATATTTTTAAAATTTTAATTTTAAAAATTAAATATTTTTCTTCAAAAAATTATAGCATGTTGTTTTATAAAATGAAGTATAAATTATTTTCAATTTTCAAAAAAAAAAATGAAAAAAAAAAATAAATGAAATAAAGCTATATATATATATATATATTAATATATATTATGTATAATATGTAAAAACACATAATTCAACATTTTAAAATAAAATATATTATCATGTGAATATTTGTAAATTTTTAAAAAAAAAAAAAAAAAAAAAAAAAAAAAATCAATAAAATATTCGTAACTATGAAATTTAATGAAAATATAATTAATAAAAATATTTTTATTATATAAAATATTGCAATGAACCACTATATAATTTTAATTTAATTTTTTTTTTTTTTTATATCAATATAGAATAATTTTAAATTATAATTTTTTTAAATATTAAACGTGATAAAATACTTTTTTATAATTAAATCAAAAAACGCGATTAAAAAAAATTAAATGAGAAAATAACTGAAAGTTTATACACAATATATATATGCATTAATTAAAAAAAAAAAAAAATTAAATTTATAAAAAGAAAATTTTATTTTTAAAGAAATTAAATGCAAAATATATAAAAAGAATATTATAAAATATTAAGAAATAGTGAATAAATTCAAGTATTATATGTAAATATTATTAAAAAAAAATTAATATATATATATATATATATATATTCATAAAAAGAAAATTATTGTTTCTTTTATTTTACATATTATTCTTTATATCGTTAATTTTTTTTTTTTTTTTTTATTTTTTTATCCTTATAATAAATTAATGTTGTACTAATATCCTATTTTTCTTTATATATATAGGTAGAAAAAGATATAGAAAGTTTTTTTTTTTTTTTTTTTTTTTTTTTTTTTTTTATATATATATATATATTTAAAACTTATAATATGGAGGAATATTCAGAGGAAAACATTGATAATTTATCAAATAAAGAAAAAATATATAGTGGAAAGAAATTGGTATATACGAAAAATGATTTTTTATATGCCTATAAAGAATTAATATTAAATAAAAAGGGAATCAATGATGATAACCTATGTTATGATAAATTTAGAAATTCGGATTCATTTAGAAAAAAGGAAAATATTAAAGATGATGGAGATGAAAGCAATAAAAACAAAATAAAAAATGATACATTTAATTTTGAAAGTCATTTTAACAAGAATATTTTAGTTGAATCATTAAATTCTAATAATCCTTTAAATATAAATAAAAAAAGTTCTTTTCTTACAAAAAGTAACAAATTTAATAAAATTTTTGATATTGATTCTAATAATTTAATTAATATTAGGAATAACACTGATAATAATAATAATATTGATAATGATAATAATAATAATAATAATAATACTGATAATAATAATAATATTGATAATAATAATAATAATATTGATAATAATAATAATAATAATAATAATAATAATAATAATAATAATAATAATAATATTGATAATAATAATAATAATAATAATAATAATAATATTGATAATAATAATAATATTGATAATAATAGTAATAATAATAGTAGTAATAATAATAATAATAGTAATAATAATAATAATAGAAATAGTTTAAAAAAAAATAATATATATGTTGATAATAATAAAAGATTAATGTGGAGAGAAAATAATAAGGTGTCTTCATCATGGAGATATACGAAAGGAAACAATAAATTAAGTGATAATAAAGATGAAGTAAAAAGAAGTTATAATAAATATTATAATGATGTAAAAATTTCATCTCCTATTGATTCCAATGATGAAAATGATGTTAACGATTTTAGTAAAATTTCTCATCAAAACAATTATGTTAAAGATAGAAATATAATAAATGTGAAAAGAGAAGACATTTTTAATGATTATAATAATAATAATAATAATAAAAACATAAGTAGTAATAATGCTGTAAGCTTAAATTTAATAAGTCACAATAATAATAACAATAATGATAATAATTCTAATGAAAATTTAAATAATGATGTAGAGAATACGAATAAATCTGTTGAAAATTTTGGTATTTTAACTTATTCTAATTCAACGAATAAAAACTTAAATTTCTCCAATGCGACAGGTTTTTTTAGTAAAGGGAATAATATAATTAAAAAAGTGAATGATATATTTAATAATTCTTCTGTCTATTCAGCTAGTTGTAATTTTAATAATAATAATAACAATATCCATTTAGATGAATGGAAGATCAAAAAATACAAAAAGTATAATAATAATGATAGTCACAGAATTTTAGAAGAAAAAACAAAAAAAGAAAATAAAAATGAATATTCAGATATATTTTTAAATAAAAATAATGATATGAATAAATTGAATATAAATTTTCCAAATAATGTACACGATATTAATCAATATAATTATAATCAGCAACCATTTGTAGGAAAAACAGAATATAATACTAATGATTTAAAAAAAAAAGTAAATTATAATGATGTAATAAATAAAAGTAATATAAATAGCAATGCAGAACATTTATCCAATAATATGAATAAAAAAAGTGGAAAAATTAATAAGGTTCCTAATTCATATGAAAACGTAAAAAATCAATCAAATAATTTTACAAATTCTAGTTATTTTAATACAAGTAAAAATGTAAAATTAAATGAAAAGAAAAATTCAAAAAGTGATAAAAATGTAATGGAAGATGATTGGAGTTCAATAAGAAAAAAATCAATCTTAGCTGAAAATAAAAAAGCAACAGATGATTTAATCTGGCATAAAATGAGTGAACAATTTGACAGAAATAATAAAAATTCAATGGATTCTTTAGATAGTAAAGTTGATAGTAGTAATATTGATAATAATAAGAATATTAATAATAATATAAATAATAATAGTAATATTGATAATAATAATAATGATAGTAAAAATAATATTAATAAAAACAGTAATATTGATAATAATAATGATAGTAATAATAATACTAATAATTGCAATAATAATAATAACATTAATATTAATAATAATATTAATAATAATATTAATAGTGATAATAATAATGTTAATAATAATAATGATAGTAGTAATAATAGTAATTATAACATTATAAATGATAATAATAATAATAACAATTATGATCATTTCGTATCAAAAAATGAGAAATTATGTTTTGTAGAGAAAGGTAATTTTAATAAAGAAAATATAAGTAATAATATGTCTGCTTATACAAATAAGAAAATAAGTGAGACACCATTTGTAAAAATGGCTCTTAATAACAATTTTAAAATTGATGAAAATAATGCATCTGAAATCTATACATATGAAGATGATTATTTAAATCAGAATTATTTTTCTGAAGATAAAAAAGATTCATATATTAATAACATAGACAAAGTTAACAATAAAATTAATACAGAAAAAAATAAGAAGAAAAAAAAAAAAAAAAATGAGAAAGATAAAGATAAGGAAAAAGAAATAGAATCAGAAATAGATAAAAACAGAAAAATAAATTTAAATGAAGACGTAAATAAAAAACAAGAGGAAGTGAATTATGATAAAAATACTAGAAATATTAAAGAAAAAGAAGACATTAGTAATAATAATAATAATGATGAAAAAGATAAAAATGTTTCTGATAAAATGCTTTATTTGCATGATGAAGAAAAGGAAAAAGATAAACAAAAATTAGAACAAACATTAAGAGAACAAGATGATACAAATACAGATAAAAAGAATAATTATTATTGGGAAAAGATTAATAACAAAAATGCAAATTTACCTTTTATTGAAAGTGATAATGTAAATAAAAATTATATTTTAATAAATAATGCAAAAAACGAATCATTAAAAAATAGAAAATATTTATGCAAAGATGAAATTGATATCCCACAAGAAAGTTTGTTACAAAAAATAAAAAAAAAAAATATCAGTGCAGAAAACGTAAATAATTTATTGTCTATTAGTAGTAATAGAAATGCGAATTTATCTAATAATTTTTTTTTTTCTAATGATATTAATAAAGTCTTAGAAATGAATGAGAATAAAAATGTAGATATAAATTCTGTTTATTCCAAGAATATTTCTAATAATTCCTACCCTAATATACTTGTGAATAATTTTTATAAGAATAGAAATATTATTGGAATAAATACTGAAAATAGTTTGAATAAAAATGAAATAAATAATAACATTTCACATTTTTTATCAAACATAAATACAAATATAAGTAAAAAAAGAAGTACTTCTAATATAGATCTAAAACACGCTAGTAGAAATTATTTTCATGAAAGAAATGAAGAATTAATAGAAAAAGTGAAAGAAGAAGAAATAGAAAATAATGTAATTAAAAAAATTACAGAAAAAATAAAAATGGACGATAATTTTCTGAATAAATTAAGTGAAAAAGAAAAAAGTGAACTATTAAAACATATAACTTTAAGTTATTTAAAAACAGTTGATAATTTAGAAAATACAAATACAGATAATTCTATGGTACATTTAAATAATAATAACAATATACATTTAAAATTTAATGAAGCTAATTTACTAAATTTGAAATTAAATAATATTGATAACACTAGTAAAAAAAACAGGAGTGTAAATTTGAATGATAGAAATATAGCATCTTATAATAATATAAATAGAAATGAATTATTATCATATGAAGATATGGAAAATAATAGAAATGATTATAATTTAAAAAGTATGATAAATCAAATGAACAACAATGAGTCATCTTATTTAGAGTACTTATTAGCAAAAGCCTTTGATGAAAAAAATAAGTATGATAATAATAAATATAATACAGTTATGAATGAGAATAAGTGGTTGAAACATTTACATGATAAGAATTCTCTTTTAAATGAATATAATTTATTAAACAATTTTCATATAAATTCAATGAAAGATAGCAATGTATTAAATAAAAATAAATCCATCTTAGAGAACAACAATTCTAGTAACATAGCTGAAAATGAAGATGGAATATTAACTCAATCTAATTTAGAAAATAGAAAAATTAAAAGTAATACTGAAAACATAAATAAAGTTGTTAACATTAATCATAATACTTCATCTATGATTATGCAAAATATAATGGGAATAAATAATGAATGCTATGGAAATATATCTAACAATACTGATGAAGATACTAAAATAACAAGAAATAATTACTTAAAGGAAAAAAAAAAAGAAAATAATACTTATTTATTGGATACTCAGGCATATAATAATGAAAACACTGCTACTAATAATAATGATCATATTTATAAAAACTTAAGTCAAAATCAAAATATGAATAACATAAACATAATAAAAAATATTCAAATAATGAATAGATTAAATAAAATAAAAGGTGATATATGGCAATATAAAGATCCATCTGGAAATATACAAGGACCTTTTTCATCAGAACTTATGTTTTATTGGTGGTATTTAAATTATTTTCCTCATGATTTACCAATCCGATTTAATGAAAATATGCCATGGATAAAGTTTAATGAAATGTTTCCTCCAGGAAGCTTTCCTTTTGTTCTTCCTTTAACTTTTATGAAAAAAGATTTTAACAAAATACAATCAGAAAATAATTTTTATAATATTAACCACAAAAATATTTATAATAATTTTAAAGAATTCAACACAGTTGAAGAGAAGGATTCTTTTAGTAATGAACATTTTAGAAATATTGATAAAAATATTTATAATAAAAATATAGATAGTATTTTTAACAAAAATATTGGTAATATTTATAATAATGATATAAAAAATGATATATATAACAAAGAATATATGGGCATGATAAATGATAAAAAATTACAAATGGAATTATCAATGTTACGAGAAAAAGGATTAGAATTAATAAAACAGAGACAAAAACAAATTGAAATAGTTAACCAATTAAATGAAGTAGAAGAAAAAAAAAAACAAGAAATAAATAATATTAAAAATGAAAACAATGAATCAATCTTAGTGGATAAAAATGATTATCTAGATCCTAATAATAAATTGATATCTGAAACATTAACAAAAGAATTAAAAGAAATTTTAAAAATTAATAATAATAATAATAATAATGTAGAAAGTAATATTCCAAATGATAACAAGAAAGTTAGAGATGCCATTAACTATGTTAACACTTTTTTAAATGCAAATGAAAATTCTGTTAGTACATTAAACTCAATCAATAACAACAAAATAAATTTTCTAAGTAATGAATCACAAGAGAAAAAAGAAAATATAATTAGTACTAATAACATTACAGAAATATCTAATTTTTACAAAATAAATGCAACCAAACAAGTAGTAAATTCCTTACAAGACATAAATACAGTTAAAACAAATAGTTGTGTTAATGAAATTAAAACAATTTTAAACGAAAATAGTTCAATAACTATAAACACTAATATTGATAACACTCATACGAATAAAAATTCTAATAATCATTTAAATAATTTTATGCATAATTATATTTACGTAGATAATTTGAATGATATAAAAATGAACGAAAAAGAAATTAATGAAAATCATTTATGTGATTCTAACAAAAACATAGATAATGAAGTGCCACCTATTGAAGAACCAAAGAATAAATTGAATAATGAATTAAAAAAAAACATGAAAACAAATAAAGATAATAAAAGAGTTTCCCAAAAAAATGAAGAAAATAAAAAAAGAAAAATAAGTGAGCATATATATAGTAATGTAGAAGAAGAAAAAGTGTTAACAGAAAAAAATAAAGCATATGTATTTTCTAAAAAAGAAAAGAAAGATACTAAAGAAAAAAAAAATAAGAAAGAAGAAAAGACGAAAGATAAAGATGAAAAAAGAGAAATAGAAAAAGAAAAAGAAGTAGAGAAAGTTAAAGATGTAGAAGAAGTAAAGGAAAAAGAAAAGAAGAATAAAAATAAAAAAAAAAAAAAAGTAAAGGGAATTAATAAAAATGAAGATTCTTCCTTACAACAATCAGAAAAAGAGGAGCACAATGAAAAAAAAAACAAAAAAGAAATAAAGAAAATGAATTTAAAAGAGGAAGATAAAAAAGAAAATGAGAATATAAAAGAAGAAGAGAAAAAGAAAAATGAAAATACGAGAAATGAAGAAAAAAAGAAAAATAGTAATATAAAAAATGAAGAAAAAAGGAAAAATGAAAATTTTAAAAATGAAGAAAAAAAAAAAAATGACAATATAAAAATTGAGAAAGAAAAAGAGAAAATAGATATAAGAAATGAAGATAAAAAGAAAAGTGATCATATAAAAAATGAAAAAGAAAAAACAGATGTAAATAATAATAGTAATGTAATTAAAAAAAAAGTAGAAAAAATGAAATGGAGTATATCTGGTGAAAGAAAAATTGACAAATTAGTAGACATTATGAAAGGAGAAGAAAAAAGCATAAATATGAAAATTAAAATTGAAAATTCAAAAAAAAAGGTAGTCAATAATAATAATAATAATGTTAGCGGTAAAAAATCTGGATGGGATGTAAATTATAGTGGTAATGAAAAAAATTCAGATTATATTGATTTTCCTTACTTAACTACAGGAATTAGGCAGAGTAAAACTAAAACATCAAACAAAAATTCTTTTAATAAAATGAATAGCAAAACTAATCAAACCACTGTAGAAATAACTAATATAGATAAAAAAAATAATAACATTTCAAACAATATGAAAAATAGTATTATTACTAATGATAATATAAATAACAAAAAGTCGAATGAAAAAAAAAAGTGGAAAAATGAAAATATTGATACTCAAGACAATATAGAAAATAAAAAATTCCCATCGCTTTTATATTCATCTTCCATGAAATGTAAAAAAAAAAAAAAAAATTAAAAAAGAAAGAGAAAAAATTTATTAATTTTTATTATATATATAATCATTATATTTTTTATTTCTTTACTTTTAACAGCCGAAAACAAAAAAAAAGCAAATTCTCATGAACAAGAATTAACAGGTATTTTTTTTTAAGAAATTTTTAATCTTTTAAAATTCTATTAGTTTCCTTTATTATTTTAATATTTTTTAACATAATTTTTATTTTTTTTTTTTTTTAGATTTGAAGCAATTAACAAGTTCATGCAAATTACCTTTAGATGACTCTTTACTTAATTTTTTAAAAAATTTTAAGGTATTAAATTTTAATTTCATATATTTTGCATAATTTAACTATCATTGATATTCTCATATTTATTTTCATATTTATTTTCATATTTATTTTCATATTTATTTTCCTTTTAATTCATTTTAATTCATTTTAATTTAATTTTATTATATATTTTGTTTCCTATTTACAATTTTTTTTTTTTTTTTGTAGAAAGCAGAAGAAATATATGCTTTTCTTCAACATAGTGTTGAGGATAAAAAAAAACTACATCATTTTGCAAATGAATTTATTAAAATAAATAATAAAAATAATTTAAATAATAACCAAAAAAAAAAAAAGTTATAAAAATGTAGTTGAATTTTTTTTTTTTTTTTTTTTATATATATATATATGACTCCAACTTGTTATATATGTTATTTCACATTTACTTATGTGTATATTTTTTTTTTTTATTTCTATTTTTTTTTTTAAAAATTTTATGTTCAATTATTCATATAAAGCACTAAAAAAAATTCATTTATATATATATATATTTATAAAACAAATTACGAATTTTTATTTATTGAACATAATTAAAACACAAAAATGATTTTATATATATGTTAATTTTTTTTTTTTTTTTTTTAAAAAATAATTTCATTATGAAAATTTAAAAACCTTAAATATATTAAAAAAAAAAAACAAATATATATACATTAAACAATTTATAAACATATTAAAAAAAAAAAATGTATTATATTTAAAACAGTTAATAGCAATTTCGTTCTTTTATAAAAAAAAAAAAAATATAACAATGTATATATTATGAAAAGTAAATATTTTTTAAAGAAAAACAGAAAAAATGTAAAGGAAAAAAAAAGCTGCATACAAAATTATGATATTCCTACGACAACAAGTTTATATAATTCAACCATATTGAGAAAAAATGAAAAATTAATAAGTAAAAAGAAAAGAGAATACTTGAATAGAAATAAAAATAGTATAAATTGTAAAGAAAATGAGAAAAATTATTTATATAAAGAAAAATGTAACGAAGAACTTTTTCATAAGGATGAAAATAATAAGATAAAAAATGAAAATTCTTTAAATATCATAAATGAATTGCATAATTTTAGAAAAGGTAATAAAGAGGATAGCATAAAAATAATAAAAAAGAAAGAATGTAATTTAAATAGAAAGGAAAATTTACATTTAAAATATGAAAAAATTATATTGTTAAATAAAAAATTTAATAATTTAATGAAGAATTTAAAATTAAATGATAGAGAATTAACAAAAACTATAAAATGTGAAAATTGTAACTGTTCAACAGTATTGAAAAAAGGAAAATATGGTAATTTTTTAGTATGTAAATCTTGTTTAGTTAAAGTATCTAAGAAAAATATAGATAATTTTATTTTTAATAAAAAAGAAAAAACATTTTATAAAAATAAAAGTAAAATATCTTTTGAAATGGAAAATAAATATTCTTTTCGAATACATTTTTTTGGATATATTAATGTTGCAAATAAATTTAATCAAATAATTAGTGAAATAATAAAGGAAATAATCACAGATTTAATGAGAATTAAAAAAAGTAAAATAAAATATAGAAATATTATAAAATATATTTATAAAATAAATAATCCATTTAATGAGAATAATAATTATTATAATTTTTTTTCCATATTAAAAAAAAAAAATATCTATGATTTTTATAATTTTTCTTTTAAAAGAAGTTATTATTCTAATTTATATAAAAAGAACAATTATATTAAAAGGAAAAAAAAATATGAAATTCATTTTTTATATAATAATAAGTATATAGAATCTATAGAAGCAAAAATAAATAATAATAAAAAATACAAAAATAGAATTAAAAAGTATTTATTAAAATATTTAAACAATGATTTCTTTAAAGAAATATATTATTTACCTTTAACATGGAAACCTAGAAAAGATTATATAAATAGTGGCATATTCCCATTTCATTTATCAAAGGATATTAAAAAAATAAAATCATTTAGAAGATTGAGTGTTAATAATAATAATTATTTATGTGGTTGTGTATTTAATTTATGTTCATATCAGTTAATATTACATTATTTTATTTACAAATTATTCAATTTTTGTTTTATTTATGAAATCCCCAAAACCATATTTTATTTTTTTAGATATTTTTATCCTACTTTTAATAATAAATTTTATATATATAAACATTTTTTAAAAAATAAGTACATAGATACAGTCATTAAAACCTACGAAAAGTATAAACCAAGTTTAACTGAAATAAAAAAGAATTATATTATTCATAAAAATAATCAACAAGTAGAAAAAGAATCAAAAGATGAGAAATGCATTATGAATTATTACAACTATGAAGAATTAACTATCATTACATATATTATTGATAAATACGAATTAAGAAAAGAAATATTAAGACATTATTATATGAAAGAAGAACAAAAAATTAAAAAAGAAATTTATAAAGAAATTAAAAATATATGCCTAGAAGAAATAAAAAAAAAATTGCCTATAAGAATACAAAAAGTTATTTTACCATATCAATTAGAAACAATATATTTTTTTAAAAAAAAAAAAGGGAGAATATTAATTGCTGATGAAATGGGATTAGGAAAGACATTACAATCGATTTCAATTTTTTATTTTTATAATTTAATTCCAGTTTTAATTATATCACCATCTTCTTTAAAAATTAATTGGCTATCAGAAATAGAAAAATTTCTTAATTTCTTTGATACTTCAAAAGTATTAATTATTAATAGTTCAAATGATTTACCAAAATTAAATATAAATTACAAGTAAAAAAAAAAAAAAAAAAAAAAAAAAAAAATATACATATATATATATATATATACAATATTTTTATATATATGTATTTTTATTTTTTAATATTATTAGAATTATAATTGTTTCATTTAATATGTATAAAAAAATATATAACATTATAAAAGAAATAAAATTTAAATTGATTATTGTTGATGAGAGTCATTATATTAGAACTGTTCACTATGGAAGACAAAGTGAGTTAACAAAAATGATAAAAAAAAAAATAAAAAAAACAAAAAATGTTATTTTTTTGAGTGGTACACCATCTATTAATAGGCCTATAAATATATTTCATCAAATAAAATATTTAATTAATGATAATAAAATATTTTGCAAAAATAAGTTTATATTTGGTGAAGAATTTTGTAAAAAATATTTTTATAGAGGTGAAAAAATATACGAGGAAAATTTGAGATCTTGGGAATTTTATATTTTTTTAAAAAAAATAGTTATGATAAGAAGAACTATTTCAAATGTTTTTAAAATTAATTTTCCTAATTTAAAAAGATTTTTTATATATTTACCAAGTAATATTCATAATTTGTTAAAAAATGGAGAAGATAATAATGTAAATAATCAAAAATGTACAAAAAGAAGTATAATAGATGAAAAAAAAGTTGAAAATAATTTGAAGAGTGAAAATAAATTAGGAAATAATACGATAATATATGATAATAAAAAAGATAAAACTAAATTAAATAGACAAATATTAAATGAATATTTTAATATTGATATAAAGTCAAAAAAAGAAGAAGAAGGTATTTCAAAGATAGTGAATGCTTTACAATGTATTGAAAAATATTTTCCACAAAAAAAAAAAATTATTTTTTGTTATCATATAATTGTATGTAAATGTATAGAAGAAGAATTATTAAAAATAATAAGA